CTAAATGTTTTTTTTTCTTTTTTTGTGGTTTTACTAATGCCCTTTTCTGGAAAATCACTTTGTCATTATGGTGTGTGGCACAAAATATTGCTGCCATCTAATACTGCATATGTAGTTTCACTTGCTCCTCTACTTGATGAGAAGCACTGAGCTGTGTGCAGTCTTCTTGCCATGGAAATTCACCGTGCATTTTAAAGGCTTGTTGAAGTTTGCTTCTTGAGGGGTGAAGGTGAGGGTTGACTTTGTTGACCACAACCATTTATTCATCTTTTTTGACTTTGTTTTCAAAATTCCTCCGTGGCTCCAGAAGATTTTGGGAGGAGATGATGGACAGGCATGTGTAACTTTGCAGGTGGCAGTCACTTTTTTAAGGACTGCAACAGACATGATGGGAGGCTCAGGAACTCCTGTACAATCAACAATTTTCACAAAATTACTTGTTAAATAGTTATTTAAACATGTTTTACTATCTTAAAGTAAATGGTTTGGGATTATTGAAAAGGTCTCTAATATACTCACGGAAGACATCAAGGGTCACTGGATCTTTTGAAAAGATGAACTTTGAATGTCTTGGAATTTCAATAGTCAAGTGAAACGGACCAGTGTCGGTTTCTCTGACGTCATCCAGCTGCCAGGTGCAGTCGTTACTTTCAATGGTTCCTGTAATTCTGGATCGCCCTTTGAACTCCTGCTTTAGTTTGAACTTGGGGTTATTTGATGCAACAGTCTCGTCACCTCTTGTCCAATATCCCCGCCACTTTTTCCACAGGTTACCTTTCGTGGGGTAATCGTACTCACAGGGAATGACCACACATGAGCTTTCAAGAACAGGGATTTTTGATGGTACAGATATGAGCCAGCTCTTGCCTGAGCCTATAGATTCAGCCATCTCTGCAATAAAGCACAAAATACTTTTTCAGCAAGTAGACAGTGATGAAATGACGATATTTCATGAATTGTCATTTTCATGCTAAACTTACCACAAACCATCAGAATTGAGAGCCACAATTTCAAATCCATCATCAGCTGAGTAGAAGTCTAAGAAAAACAAACATAAAGATTAAGATAAAGATAGAAAAGTCTTTAGTGAATTCTTCTTAATCTTCAAAGTAATGATCCACTCACTTTTAATTTTCTTTAACATATGACTGAAATTAAATCTTGTAAGATTTGAACGTTTTGAAGCCTAAGATTATGTCTCTGTCCTGTTGTGTTGTGAGAGAGAGTCTTGTGCTTATAAAGCAAAAGCTTAGACCTTGAAGCCAGAAATTGTTACAGTTTGCAATCAAACTTTCCCAACGTCATAAGCGGATTATAATGTAGCTATTTTGTACTTTTAAATGAACAAATTTTAGATGGAGGAAAAAAATAAATGTAGCACAAGTGCTAAATAAAATCTGTAACAATGTGGTCTATGAATTAGAAGGTTATTGTGTAAAATCAGTTCAGGTATCATTATGAATCACTTCCTGAAAGTCAGCAGAGTTTACCCAGCATCAGGTGTGGAGCAATTATAGTAACGCTTGACATCA